AGTGTGAAGAAGTGTGCAAGGCAAAGGCATTTCAGAACTATAAGAAGGATAGAAGCCTTTGCCATGTGGTTGACGTCAAGGTTTTACAAAACTCTGGAAGTGCCACCACCATCCTTGCCTCCATGGGGACAAGGATGGAATGACATGAGAACAACATTGGCAACATGAAGTAAGAGAATCTTGCAAGTGAGACAACCGTACAGGAAAAGGAAGGTAGTGAGAGAGAACAGCACCCACAGGTTGGGTAACAGTCAAACCACAACATACGCGAGAGCAAGGATGTTGTAGGGACTGTGCAAGGTAACAAAGACAGTAGCGATAAAAACGATTCTGTAGAGACATGATGTAGGTTTCAACATACAGGCTCAGGGTAGGGGTTGAATGAAAGGCATCAAGTCCTGCAAGTACAGGGAACTTTGTTCCCGTCAAATCCAAGACCCTCGGTCTCCAAAGAAAATTATTTAAAAGCTTTTACAGCATCGAGTTCTAAGCTCATTGGCATGAAGAATGCCCAACTGCTGACACCTTCCTTTCCCAGTGTGCCAAACTACCAGAAAGCACAAATTAAGACAAGATTTCAAGGGAGTAATTTGTTAAAAACACTAAACCTGGAAAATGGTTTAAGAGAGGTCGAGGGGATTTACAACCTCTAACAATTCTTCGTGATCCTTTATTTGTAGCCAATAAATTTTGTATAACTAAGCCCCAAATAAAATAAGATAGCAACAGAGGTGGTAAGAGTGACAATGAACCAATTTTTAAATTGGAACCTTAAAAGTTTTCTTTGGACGACACATAATATCCTCACCAAGGCTAAGAGTCCGAAACTAACCCAATGAAACTATTCCTCATGTCAACTAGGTCAGGAGAGTTACAAGAATAAGGAGTCTCAAAGTAGCTAACTGATAAACTATTGTAGATTTAATTCCGACCTCGAGAACCACAATGATATATACTGATAATCCCTTAATATGTATGTTGCAAATCTATAAAATAGTGGGCGATACATTTCATTTACTTGACATTAAGGGGACTGAACTCGCGCATGTGAAATATAAAGTCGCTGCTTTATCAACCAGAAAAGGATGCTAACAATGAGGGTGTCTGAAAGTAGCCAACTGCTAGTCATTAAAGATTTAAACCCTCCTTGGAGTATCACAATATCTAACAATAAACCACATTTCTATGTCAAACCACCTACAGTCCCAAATATATTAAATATTTTACCCACAATATTGTGGATTTGGAATTTATATGACAGATTATCACCAGATACCATTACTATTGTGCTTCTGGGAAGATTTAAATCTTAGACCGAGAAGCTAGCTACTTCTGAATTCCGCCTTACTGTGAACACCATGTACTAGTACAGCAACAGCTTCGGATTTTACAGGTACAAGTTTAACCCATGATCCTAGTGAGTGATGTGTATATTTCATATAACATACTGGCTTGAATGGCCAGCTGTGTGGACAGCATTCAGATGCTCAATCGAAGGAGCCATGGAAAATTATAAAGTATGTGTGTGTGTGTGTGTGTGTTTTATTTATATACTGTGTGTGTATATATATTATATATATATACACACATACATACATATACACACATACATACATATACACACACACACACACACATGCACACACAGTAATACGCATACATACAAATGAGTAGTGCATTTTATGGCAGAATGGCCAAATTGTTAATTTCTTTATATTTATATTCTTGGTTGACAACATTCTATACAGTACAGTACAAGTATTTTGTATTCATAGATATTATGAACTCGCATATAAACCATATAACAACTTTAAATCAACCAATACTTAATTAGCAACATAACTTTACTCAAAATAATATTACAAAGGCTATTTCAGTTTAACAATCTAATTTTAATGAGCCATTATAATTTTAGTCTGTGTAGGCCAACTGCCACAGCTTAATAAAAAGTGAATACAAATTTTGTCTATGTGCAAAAACAGTTCTGCTAGTTACATGTAGAAGGCAAGTTCAAACTAAAATGTACCACCCAATTTATATATATGTTGCATTAAACTTTAAATGGTGTATGCATTTTATATATATATAATTTATTTCACACATACATACATACATACACACACACAATGAAATGAATGCATGACAGCTCATCCAACCCAAATAGGGGGACAATAGTTCATTCAGTTCACCTATTCCGATGAGGTCTGTGCCTGTATCACAAGTGGAGATGCTTCATGGAACAAAAGATGGTCAGCTGCATTAAGATTAGACTTTTAACTCACCTTGTACGTACATACGTTTGTGCGTGTCTGTGTGTGTGTGTTTATAAATGACAAAATACATGAACACAAACAGTGCCAAACACAAAAATGAATTCAAACTCAAGTTTTGTTAACAGCTGGCGGAGCTCATTCATTACATGAGTTGGTCGACATCAAAAGTATTCAGTTCACAACGCACTGCTGTCAGGCAAATTATGACTTCAAATGTGTTTTACAGAATACCAAAACAACATGCATGTTTCTTTGTCTGATTTAATTTAATTTAAATTTAATATATATTATATATATATATATATATATATATATATATATATATATATATATATATATATATATATATATATATATATATATATATATATATATATATATATATATATATATATATATATATATATATATATATATATATATATATATATATATATATATATATATATATATATATATATATATATATATAATGTATGTTTGTATGTATGTTTGTATGTTGTTGAATATGACCGAAATGGTAAGATTAATGATTCTAACATGAATGTTCCCAATATTTCTTATTTTTTTCTTCACTGTCGAGGGAAGTTGACAAATTTACTCTCCAAAGTTCATTTTCACACTATATTTATGGTCGGATGCCTAGGGAAGCATTTCGCAAGGCACTCCTTACAGTTTCAAAGACAAATTTTCCTTACTTCTCCAATGCTTATGTTCACTTGGGGTGAGATGATACAGGATATGATTGAGATGAAAAAGTGGATCAATGGCACAATGGGTATTATAGGCCATTGGGTGCGCTATGTTCTTTCTTCTGTGTTGGTTTGGGGTCTTGAAGTGGGTAGAATGTAATTATGTGTTAATTGGTTGTTGATTGCTGGTTTCGACTCTCTTTGATGTGTAGGGCCTCACTGATGTCAAGTCTCCTGTTGTTGTACCTGTCTATAATTTCTGTGTTGCTGGTTAAGATTTCTCTGGTAATGGTCTGGTTGTGTGAGGAGATATATAATCTCAAGGAGCATATAATCTCCTCATACAACCAGACCATCACCATAGAAATCTTAACAACAACACAGAAATTATCGACAGGTACAACAACAGGAGACTTGACATTAGTGAGGCCCTACACATCATAAAAGTCAAAACCAGCAATCAACAACCAATTAACACAATTACATTCTACCCACTTCAAGACCCTGAACCAACACAGAAGAACGAACATAGCGCACCCAATGGCCTATAATACCCATTGTGCCATTGATCCACTTGTTCATCTCAATCATATCCTGTATCATCTCACCCCAAGTGAACATAAGCATTGGAGAAGTAAGGAAAATTTGTCTTTGAAACTGTAAGGAGTGCCTTGCGAAATGCTTCCCTAGGCGTCTGACCATAAATATAGTGTGAAAATGAACTTTGGAGAGTAAATTTGTCAACTTCCCTCGACAGTGAATTAAAAACTTAAGAAATATTGGGAACATTCGTGTTAGAATCATTAATCTTATCATTTCGGTCATATTCAATAACATACATATTTTATTTATACAGTATATTATATATATAATGTGTGTATGTATCAATTATTTATATTTATTTTCCAGCATAAGTATATACTGTATAATATACACGATCATTTTCAATATGAGAATCTCGTACAGGTTACACATGCATGCACGCACACCCACGCGCACACACAAAACAAATATATGTTGTACAGTTTATGAATTTTGGGTATACTAAAATACTATTATATAGTATGTTTACAATATGGTAAAAGTTAAATGCCAAAATATGTTTCAACAAAAAAAAAAAATAATGGTAGAATTGATTGAGTCACCTCCTCAGTCGTCAACTAGTTATTGAACAAGTCTGCAAGCCATTGTGATGTCCTAAACATTCTACCAGCACAATATACAAATTTGATAACAGAAAACTAGGCACTCAAATAGGGATACTATTCAATTACTCTCAAATATTATTGGTGAACATTTAGTACAATTTAAATGCTGACAATGACAAAAGATGATAGCATAAGATGATGTAATAAGACAAAGGATGAAGAATAAGAGAACAAAAACTATTTTTAATATATAAGTTAAATAGATGTAGTAAAGGAAAAAATTCTTCTTTGAACTCAACAATGAAAATGCCCAGTTTCTACAATGCCCAATACATTTTAATTTAAGTGCTGGTAGTATGGTGTGGAATTCACAACAGTTGGTTTTGAACACATGGTGGAGGCACTGTCGCGTCCTCAAATTAAATTTGTTGAATCTCATGTAGGCATCCCGAGCAGCTGTCAAGAGGAATCTATTTGAAATAGAGGACAGTTTGAAGTGTGGTACTAACATAACAGTCACCACTGAACCACATTGTTGCATACTGCAGTCCTGGTTTCTGGTTCATTTGCACATGAAAGAGAGAACAGTGGATGTGTGGTCTTGAGCTTGTAAATGCTGCAGATATTTGGGATATATCTACAGTTGATTTGTACACCATTACAGGGTAAATGGGACATCAATAGGAACCTTGTCAAACATCAAGTGGGATTGAAAATGACAACTGTCAGATCAATATTTCTAAAAAGACCTATCTTGCTCTTGGCATTATAAAAATCTGTTATACAAAATTATGTCAAAATTATTATGAAGTCATATGCTAAACTTAAAATAGTGATTAACGGTGATCTTATTGATGTCCCATTTGCCTGGATTTTAGACAGCTCCCGGGATGGCCACATCAGCCTTATGTTACACTGTGGAGGGTTCGCTGTGGCTTATCCTCTGCTCCGTCCATTACCTCATACTTTGCACAACTTTTCCAGTTCTATCAATAAACCATATACATACATTACTTGTATATTATATATATATATATTATATAATATATAATTATATATATATATATATATTATATATATATATTATATACTGTATATATATATAATCATTAACATTATATATGCCATCCTATAACAAACCTCCATTCTTAAAAGGGGTCTGATTGAATTTACTTCCATGAAAACCATCTACTAAGATTTACACATCTACTTTTTAAGTAGTTCATGAATTGTGAAAATTGCCATTGTTGTTATGCCACTAACAACAACATTGCTACATTGTTACAGTCTGCAACTGTAGTTGAACCTGACATGTTTCACCGTTGCTTTAATGTTGTCGAGTATGATCCATTCTGTCATGGAAGGGCCTCAAGTTGTATCTCAAATGGGGGATTTTCCAAAAATGGTTTACATGCACATTTTATCTTGCTGGACAATAACAACTTCACCTTTCACACAAGAGGGTCCTGTAAAATGTCACCAGACACCAAAATGTGATTATGCCTCTCTACAATCTAGCAGTTCTATATTGCTGTTCTGAATGTGGCAAAACTAATGCATCAAGCACCAATTAGCCTAAATGTAGGAAATCAACATTATCTTCCTCAAACAAATACAAGTGAAAACAGGTATACTACACACAGCAACTTTAAGCATAGCACTAAAAATGAAAAAAGATAATTTTTACTGATATAATGACAATATAAAGTAAGCTTAAAAGGAAAGGATATTACAGCAATTGATCCCCATGTATTCAGGAACTTGGCAATTATTTTCAAATGAGAGAGCAAGCATGCCCCTCCATCCACAATTTATCACAAGTCACAAGGCACTTTGACTTATCACCAGCTTACCACTACAGGGAAAAATAACAAAATAAAAATGAGCAAATCTCCACATGAAATTTGTATCATAGTAACATAGTACCAGGGTAGGGAAATGTTTCCTGCTGCTTCTGCTACTACTGCAATGGTGCTTGAAGATTTGTGGAGCCACATTCTACTTAACTCAATTACCACTCGGTTCAAATAACAAATAACTACCATCCAGTAACTGGAAAAAGCGTTTTAGCATTTCAAATGCCACATAGAACAATCAACTTTCTGTCATCATATGACTTGATTTGGTAACAGACATTAGTCATTAAAACATGTGAATTCTAAAGAATTCTCAGCCTAACACAATTTTCCTTCTGGACAAGAGATGTGGGTGTCCCCTACCTGCTGCTGCCCTAACTCAATAGTGGGCAGCATATGGGACCCAACAAGCTTCTCACAATATCACAGACCAACAAGGTGTGCATGTGGTGTAGCTCCTCCTAACATGCCGTCCTCAGTCGCAGCTTGGCTGTCCTTACATCACTACAACTTGCACTCTTGAGAGAGCCAAGGCTCAATTGCTACAATCTCAGCCAAACTTTAATTCAGTTCTTTCATATAAAAATTCCAAAAAGTCAGACACACATTTATCAGTATTTTGTGTCTGGTTTCCAGATGTAAAATTTGTCTATTATAGTAACTCCTAAAATACATTTTGTATTGTTGGGTGAGCTTAAAGTTTGACTGAAATTGTTGCCCTGTCAATCATGACATAATTTTACAACTGAAAGACAAGGAAAGTTTGTAAATTAAAATGAAAGTATGAAGAAGCTGAAGACAAAGATGAGAAGTGTGTAAGATGTGACTCGCGTGCCTCCTCTACGGTCACCGGTGATGCACACAAGAAAGAACAGGTGGAGGGCTATAAGCTACAGTTTAACGAGCTAGGCTCACCTACAGTATTTCTAATTTCTATCAATAACACTAGGGACATATCTGTGGTATGGTACAAATAAAATTCAACAATCACTTACGCCATAAACAAGCTCTGCTTTCATTTTAAGTTGACTTGGTCAACCTTTCACTCGGTGCACAAATGCTCTATGGTATGTACTTGACACTATCACGAGCAAGTAGTTTAGAGTCCGGCCGGAGTGTCATAAGCCAGACTGTTACAATAACCAGCCCATCCTACAACCCACCAAGGTCCCTAGGGACCACCAGTGACTGGCTTTGACTCACGTTGGTAACCCCAAACTATATACATTATTAATTCTGCTCCATTTTCCAAATAGAATTCTGAGTTGGGTAGTGCAAACTTTATCAATCCAGCAAGAGGTCATCAATGTGTATTCACCAGCTAAGTGCACACAAAGTCGATGCTAGCACCATCATTATCCACTGGGGTGGGTATACAGGTCAGGCAACCTCCGCAACACCAGACCACAATGACAATAAAGAAGGCTTGAAACCTCCACAGCAAAACAATCCAGTACATGGTTATACACTTGTGGCTATGTGCACAGCTATTGCCTAACACTGACCATAGCGAGGCAACCTTGGGTCTCCAGACTGACCTTGGTTAGATTCAAGGCCCCACGCCCCTGCCTTCGCTCTAAAACCAGGAGGGTACAGGAGAGAATAAGGAAGAGGGAACAAAGTGGGACTTTGCAGGTAGGCATGAGGTGATTTTGGCAGTCATGTCGCACTGGGAAGCGGCCAGGTGACGCAGGTGTAGATGGTTTTGTGGTAAGAGGGAGAGCACATCCATGGGGCACTGGATACAACCCATGCCCACACTAACCTACCTTGTACTATGACCTCAAGCCTCCTTGCCCAGTCTATGTTACTGGGAGAAAAAATAATATATAAAAAGCAGCATAGTAGCTTATGAGGAATACCAATTGTATTAAAAAAAAAGGGACATTAATATTGATAACAAAAGAAACCTAGCAACTGGGCTTGAAATATTATTTGTGGTCAGCACAGCAGACGGTGTGAAGCTCTGTGTGCAACTCGGGGCAGTGACTAGATCACAAGGATACTCAATGCTGCAGATGTGTGCCCACTGGCCTGCTCACCCTCATATACCACTAACTCACTACTTACAGTTTTAATCTCTTTTGAGAAGAAATATGACAACAATATTAATACCTAAATTTAAAAAACTAGGTATGTAACACAGTTACCGTCACTGGTTCAAAACCTTTGATTTACCTGCTTTACAAGCAGAAGTGGCACTTTTAGTGCCTACAATATCAACTAATTTATTATAAGAATGTAAATATATATATAAAAATTTATCTTTTAAATATTTGGGGAAAATTTTGGTATTATTCATTAGACATATTTTGTAACTTATGTAGATTTTGTAGATTCTGCATATTTTCCAAATTTTGAAGACTTTGTTGCAAACTATGCACTGGCTTAGCAAATGGAACCCCGAGGTGTGTGGTAATGTGCTTAGACAGGTAATCTGCACGAGCAAATTTCTTTCCGCAGACCTTACATGGATACGGCTTCTCACCAGTGTGAATGCGCAGATGACGATTCATATCTGAACGGCCACCAAATGCCTTGCCACAAACACCACAGTTATACGGTTTCTCTCCAGTATGAGTACGTATATGAAGCTTCAAGTTTTCCCGACCCTTAAAACCTTTCTGGCAGAACTGACACTTAAAGGGTCGTTCTTCATCTCGTGAATCAACTGGGGGAAGAGGACCTGCGGGTAGCAACAATGCCCCCCTTGAATCAATTTTAAATATGCTAGTGTGGCCAGGAGGAGTGCTGGTCCCAAGGATTATAGTAGTGGTAGTGGCAGTGGCAGTACCAAGTGCCACAGACGAGGACGGAGGAAGGCCACCTATAGGAGTGGTAGTGGCAGGAGGCGATGGCATAGCCATTGGAGTAGAGGCTGGAAGAGGAGAGCGAGGCGGTCCCGAGATACTACTTGGGGACAACCTGGGCGAGGCCTGAGGTGATGATGCTATGCTGGGTGGGCAAGACAACCCCGGCCCATCATTTACATTCACCTCACGCAAAGTATCTAGTGAGCAGTCTGTTGACCTTCGGCAGTGACCCTCAAAACTGGCTACATCTCGGAATGTCAACTTGCACTTAACACAGTAAACAAATTTACCCTTGTTCTCTTCTTCATATTCCCCGTCCTCCTCCTCGCCATCTACCTCCTCCTCCTCTTCATCCTCCGCATCTTCAAACTTTCTTACGCCATTTTCTGGATTAACTGCTTGAAGAAGGACAGCATTAAATGTGGTGGGATTTGATGTGGACGGCTGTTCATCTTCATCTTGCAGTTGTGTCTCTATAGCTTCTTCTTTCAAAGTCACAGAAGCTTCAGATTCACTCTTTGAAGATTCATTTATTAAAAGTCTTTGTAGATAAGATTCGTGGATGCCTCGTGACGCTAATCGACCTTCATCCGACTCCGCTTTCATTATTCGATCTAGTGCATCATGATTGGAGCGGTGTTTAGTAAAGCTTTTGTGATATTTAAAGCACTGACCACACACACCACAGCGGAATGGTTTATCTCCAGGAAGCTTGGCAGTATGATTTTGCTCCTGGTGCCGCTGAAATGCTGACTGGTACTTGTAGCGCTGTCCACACTGGTCGCACTTGAATGGTTTCTCTTCCTCGTGGATTCGTACATGTTCTTCTAAATGATGTGATGAAGGTAATATCATGGCACAGATATGACACGTAATGCCACTCCCAACATTTTTATCCCGAGCCACACTTAATGATGCAGAGGATTTTGTTGTTGACCCAGACAGTCCTAGCCCAAGATTAGAAGTTCCTCCAACACCAGAGGGACCTCCAAGATTCAAAGGTAAATGAGCACCAGGAGGTAAAGCTTGCATTACCTCTAGAAATTTAATAATGTCTTTGGGAGGCGATACTCCAGAGGACTGCTGTTGCTGCTGCTCAAGGAGTCCAGAAGGAAAGTAATGCTGAAGAGGATGATAGCCTAGAGCCAATGCCTGGTGAAGGAGCGCTACTTGTGGAGGGAGTGGCCCACTTAGACTTCCAGATGTAATGGAGTTATTCGCAAGGCCACTCCCTGACAAAGATGGTGAAGGTACAGATGATGGAGGACCTGTTGATCCCACACCAACTTCTCCCTCCTCCAGGATTACTTCTGGTGACTGGATTGTCTGAAAATTAAAATATGAATGAATAATTCAATAAAAATTTAATCACTTCATTATTTTGTGTATGCAGTTTGAGACTGCTCTACATTATGGGGGCAATTATGATCATACATAAGGTGGTGATTATACTATATAATATATTATGCCATTGACGATCACGAAACACTGATCATTTGTATGCGGAAAATCCACGGAGAAATAGAAAAGAAAGATGAACGTTTCGGCCGATCTGGGCCTTTGCCAGTCTTTGTCAACTGGACAGTCCGGTGTTGACAAAAGGCCCAGATCGGCTGAAACGTTCATCTTTCTTTTCTATTTCTCTGTGGATTTTCTGCTTAATAAATAAATAAATAAATAGCTAGTGAAACTATCAAGCAAACTGGTTGGAGTCCGAGTCAGTTTAGTCACTTTATATTTTGAAAGTATTGTTTATATTGTCATTTTATAGCATAGATTTTTAGCTTCATTTGAAAGGAATCAGTCAACTAGGCATTTTGTAACACTGACTCAGGGATACCTTAACCTGTACCTCACAGTTGCGAGAGTCTAATTCACATCTGAAATCCTCCAAACAGATTTCATATACATATATATATGCTGTATATCAAACAACAATTGGAATACTTTGATAAACATTACAAGTACACCTTCATCTCGTATCTTTTAACACGTAACTCACTGCAGACATTTCACACACATACAAGTGATAGTACAAGACAGTAATTCCCATGCATACTGTAAATGTTAATCCAAAATCAATACTTTTATATCATAAATATGTATAAATCAAGCATAGAATGTAATGAAGCATCCATTCCTTGATTGGCCTGCAGTAGCTTCCTGAGCTAAGTGCTGGTACAGCTGGACCTCGGTTATCCTGGCAAAAAATAAATCGAAAATAAAACCTAAAAAAAAAAAATAAAATATTGAACTATCTCCTTCCAACTCTGAACACTGCCTTCACATTCTAGTCCTATAAGAACCTTAATGAAGGCAGTAATTGTAGTCAGATTCACTAACCATGTGGTCACGGTCGTCATCCGAATCATCATCCGAGTGAACAGAACTTTTGCTCTCTCCAGGGTTGGTGTTTGTTTGACTTCCAGATATTTTAGTTATGGACGGTGAAGTTTTGCCGGCATCCCAGTTGGAATCTCTGCTGTTACTGTCCTGAAAAATACTGTTATTTTAGCAAATGGAACAAAATACTGAAACAGTCAAGTAGGGAAATATGATTCAATTTCAATTGTCAAAAATTTCAATACAAAGAAAAATGTGTGAATGAGGATAGATTATAGGTTATAAATAAGCAATGATGGCTATATGATATATTAATATACTTGATGTATGATATATAAATATACTAAATACCAAAATGTAGTACATACATCCAGTATTCTTATATAAATGTATTATACATCCATAGCAGTTCATACATAATCTACAAATCTATCTTCATTGCATCTTTTTCTTGTAAACAAACATTCCCTTGCCAATACAGTACTTCTAAGAATTAACAAAGAAAGAAAAAGTCAACTGACGGGATCCTAAGAAAGGACTGAGTATGAAGTATGATATGGTAGGTGATCAATATTAACATGGTCGTCCCTAGACGCACACATCTTGAAATGAACGGGAGGCTAAGATAAAAAATAATAAGAGGATAATAAGTATTATTTTCTTTCCTTATTATATAAGAGGATAATAAGGAAAGTAGTATTTCCTTATTAAGACTACTCAATAGCTCGGTTGATCGAGCTTCAGCCTCACACGCTTGGGGTTCACGGTTTGAGTCTCCTAGAGCCCAGGTGAATGGAAGATAAGAGGATGTAATTACTCGACTAGTAGAATAGTCAGGTGTAATAAGCACAGACTTACGAGTACATGAAGGTCGGAGTGGAAGCAGAGAAAAAAGGACAGAACATAGGAATGTGGGTGGTGGTGGTAGTGGCATGTGCAATGTGGCAGAGAAATGTGGTACTGTATGTTGTTGTGGCGGTATGTGGTGTGGAACAATTTCCGACCTATAATAAGCAATTATTATACTGTACCTGTAAGCCCATAATGAATAATTAGGGATAGCACTGTACTATGATACAGTATAATCATTTACAGTACAGGTACTGTAAGAGGCAAAATATATATATAAATATATAATATATAAGGGATACCACCTCTGGTTGTTTATAGGGTTCTCGAAAACGATGATATGCAGCACACGGGGGAGCTTTGCCGGGCTCCCACATGCACTGGCACATTGTCTTTTCCTACCTTTCCCCCGATATATATTTTATATAGGGAACTTTATTGTACAAAATTACATGATTACAAAATGTGGCCTTAACACCTACACAGCACAACCATTACAAGTAAAATGAAAAACACATCAACGGGAAATGAAAAATAAATGTCACAGACAAATTCGAGCATTGTTGCAAGTCAAACACCTCTTCGAATTCCTCCGAAGTTAGACTCGTGCCCAAGATGTAACAGGCATTTACCCTCCGAATCGCGACACTGAGGCGCTGAAACAAGAAGCCTTTCGCTCTCTAGTCTTTTGTAGCACCGATCAATTTATCGCCTAATTCCTTCAGGAATTCCTTGTCAATTGGTCAGGGATCTGGCCCTTTCTCGATTGGCTCGCTCAAGCAATTTGGTCAACTGATGGAAGTCCTATTTGGTACCTTTTTAGGTTCAGTCTAGGCTGGGATGTCAGAACTGTGTGTGCTGCAGTCAACCCTGGTGGTGCTGCACCTCTAACACTGGCTGGAACCAGGGAAGTCTGTTTTCTGTCTCAAGCTACAAAATATGCAACCTGAGCTTTCCTTGCATGGTTTACCCTTTAGGCAGAGTCTGGCAAAAGAAGCTATTAGAAACTATCACGAGTCCTTTCTCTATTTAAGATTGTGTGGTGCATGCCAAACTTCACTGCAGAGGATCGTCATTCATCATTCTCCTCTTCAAGCTCTTCTGGGTTCAGTTCTGTGATGCCATCCTCTTTTGTTGCTGGGGCTGTTCACAGGTGTGTTAAACCTTAACTGGACATTTATCTCCAGGCTATGCATGAGGCAAGTTTCTACCCTTTCCCCAAGGACTTTAAAACACCACATGAAACAAAACATAAAACACCCATTGGCAAAACTCCAGAACACATATGTTAAAGACCTGCAGAGGCTCAATTCACGGGGAAAAATACAGAGTTGAAAAATTGCCAAACCCTGGCCAGAGCTGGAGACACACAGGAAGACAAGAATGGCACATACTCATAATTCAAAGCAAAAATATGAGTAAGCTGTAATCTTTTAAATGTCAAAGTATGTTAGCACAACTTAGAAGTAAATAAATTGTGGTTTGTTCATGGAGTATAGTATGATGGAGAATGATGAGTGAAAATAACATTCAAGATTTTACCCTTCCAAGATTAACAAGTGTTTGCATTAAACAGGGGACAAATTATGTTTTCAATTAATTAAATGAGAGTAATGCAAAAGAATGACTGAGGACAAACCTATTAAATATTCAAGAACCAAGTTTACTTATCAGGAGCACATTCAGATTATTGTAATACAAGGAACAGTTTGAAAATTAAGGTTAAAATATCTGGCTCGTAACTCTCAATCTCAAAATGAATATCATGTCAATAATATCAAAAATTGGATTTAAAACAATAAAAGTCTCCAAATTTAATTTTTGGGGGATTATGTTTTTCTAAATTAGCAAAATACATGTACAATACAACTTCTTAAATGATAAAAGTATGCTGCTAACAGATTTACAATACAATGCTGAATTGAAAGTGAAAACCAATCAACATACCTCTCTCCTGTTAGGGTCTGACAGACACAGACCTGATGGCCCTGCTGTCGTGTACTGCCTATCATTATGCTCCTGGTGAGAAGTTAAGTGCCCATTTGTTGCTTCTGATCTTGACTGCTTATTGCCACCTTCACAAACACTAGATTCTTCCTCGCTGTCATCTGCCGACACTTTCCGTCGCTTATGAACAGGTGAGGATTCTCTTGAGGATGGCCGTGACCGGTAGGTGGGAACGTGGGACGAGATTGATATCGGTATGCCTGGATGTAATGCTGTTAATGGAGGTGGAGGTCTATCTTCTGATCCAATTTTTCGCCGAGGGCTACTACTTTTTACAGTACTGGTTTCAAGTGGTGGGGTGGTTGAATCTGTGGTGTTTGTGGAAGATGCAGTGGTTTTGGTTGTGTGTGTGTGATTTATTGATTCAGATGATTCTCTACTATGAGGATGTGAAGAAAAGGGGGCTCCAGGAAGGCGATTATCTGCCAGGCCTTTAATCTGTAGCTCTCTGGCAGTGCACAGTAGTGCAGCAAGGTCATGCTGCTCCACAGACACTTCTCCATTGTATATAAACTCTATTAGAGTGCGGAGCTCAGAGTAGCGAACATCTTTGAGGATGACTATTGGGTGTTTGTCTGGATGTGCTACAAGTAACTCTTTGAAGTATGGGGAACATGCTGACAGCACCAGTCTGTGAGCCTTCAGATGGCGCCCCTCACAGGCTAAGGTCACATCTACGAAGGTTTCTGACTGCAGTAACGAGTTGAATACACGGATCAGGTTAGCCCAGTGATTGTTCCACTTGAGGCAGTACTGGTCACTTCCCATCATCAGGAGCGCTGAAATAAAAATTTTAACATTAAGTTTTGGTTTCCAAATAGTACTGTACTCTTGTCAATTTTAACACTGAACACCTTAAATTCTACTTAAACGAATATATCTTTAGCATATTGTTCATTCAATGGAGTTAATATCCACAGCCAAAAAAAAAAAAAAAAAAGGTAAAGCATAGGCCTACCATATAGTAGGCTAATAGGATACCAGCACAGTAATTGCACAACTGATAACATCTGTGTTACCAGTATGCCTGATTATATACATACTATTTTACATAATATATATATAACAAATACTGAAGTGTCTATGCTCAACAGCATAAAATGTGACAGCAACAAAAATCTCATTATACTCATACACAGCTCATTCAGACAACTATTGATCAATAATGATAAGTTTTTAAATTTAGTATAATGTCCTCATGTAAATAAGTAAAATACTGTATACATAAACCTGTAATGATCGCCGTCTGTATAAATGATCTACCCAAAGGGGAATAAGTTTGAGGATGATGCTAAACTAGTGGGTACAATAAATAACCTACAGAACCGTCATACCCCTCAAAATAACCTAGACAAAATAAGCCCATGATGCAAACCCTAGAAAATGGAATTTAATGTGGATAAATGCCATGTAATGGCATGTGGCGCAGGTGAAAACCAGTCACATTCAACATATAAATTATGTGAACAAATGCTGCAAAATTATGGCAATGGAATAACTAGTCAATTCTGGAGAGTAAACTGTCAACAGAGGACTACCCTTTAGAAAACGTGCAAAGACATACTCCTAAGTGGTTCTCAAACCTAAACTATGAGAGGCTGGAGGCCTTAAACAAGGCTAGTACACCTGTCACAAATTTGTGACATGGTATAGAGGAATTTGTAATCCAGCACCTTTAAGAAGAGTTGTTGCAACAAATTCAAGCTAAGAAAACAAAGTGTCAAAAAATACAAAAATTATCTTATGAAGATTGGTAGATGAATGGAATATTCACATTAAATGAGAGGATATTGAATGTCAAAACTAACGGAACCTTCAACACGTAACATGGCAAAGATTATAGGGAAGATAGGACAATAAGAATAGCTCTAATTCTGTAACTACACTTAAGTAGTGACATACTGACTAGCACACAGCCTATGCTACATTTGCAAATTTCAGTCACAAGCACAAGAAATATTGCCAGAACAAACGTGGACGTCTTAAAGAGAAAACTGGGATAGTTTTCTTCAAGAAGTGCCAGACCAACCGGGCTGTGGTGGATATGTGGGCCTGCAGGCCGCTCCAAGCAACAGCCTAGTGGACCAAGATCTCAAGTCAAGCCTTGCCTCGGGCTGGGCTTGGGGAGTAGAAGAACTCCCAGAACCCAATCAAGCAGGTAAACAATCATGTTAAGAAAACCGAGGTGCCAAAAACGAAAAAGTATAACAAAGTTCAACAAATTATTAAAATGAGGATGGTAGATGCCAAAACCATCATTAGATTATAGGGATGATGGAACACCAAGAACAATGCTCTCATCCTGCAACTTCATTAAAGTACAGTACAGTAATTACAAACCAACAGACACAAATAAGCACTCTGAGGAACATCAATGCAATGGAATACAAGAAACTACAGATAATCTGGAAAAGATAGAAAATTTAAGAATGGTAATAAGTAGCTTCTAGTTCAACTCGAGCAAGTGTAAAGTACAGTACAGTAATAAATTACATGCACAGAACAGAACCTCTAAGGTATCATGTGGGAGAGGAAACCCTCCTGCAATGACAGAAAAATACTTTAGAGGGTTGATATTACACTAAAACTGTCATCAAAAGCTTATGTAAAATGAATAACTTCAGCTGTATGCAAGGATGGCCCATACAAGAATTACCTTCAAGAATATGAACAAGAAGTTGTTCAGGATATTTCATATACATGTCATAAATTTTGAAAGATATGGCACCAATCTTATCCTTACAAGTTATAACAAAACAAGCCTAGTGTGTGTTAAGAGTTATACCAGACTAGTTCCTAAGTTGAGAGGTGCAAGTTATAAAGTGGAACTAATAAAATTTAACCTCGTTACTGAAAAAAGATAAGAAATGGGAGAAACAATTGGCACAAAATTATCAGCGAAACAGACAGGGTAGCCTATGTAGTATTGGTTGGACGGACAAAAACAAAGCAAGCAAATGAGCCACATAGAAATAATACCACCCATCCTCCTGTTTAGATTGTACCTGTGGTGGTGATTGTCAATAGTCAGAATTCGTACGTTCTTAGCTTTTAGGTAGTGGTATATTGACTAGTAACGAGGTCTTTAAAAATAAATGAAGCTAAAACACAAACTTAAATATTCCTAGGCCTAGTATAGCACACACATGTACTATATTAGGCCTCAGATATTGTGTATTAGGCCTAGGAAGGTTAGGATAGGTTAGTTTAGTTTGTCAAAGCAACAAGTAAAATATAGATTTCCCAGTTTGTCCAACTCAAATAGTTCAGATTTCTACGTTTTAATTTTATCGTATGTCGGTTTATATACTAAGGCCCTCATCGTTACTATACGTACTACTGTACCAAAACAGGAGGATGGGCTGAATAATAAAGTACAGTATTGTAATGAAGGCAGACTCTATACACAGCTTAAAATACAGATATGACAGATCCAAATAGGCTAAAGAAGCTATACACCGGCCGATTCAAGATTTAGGGGTGGGCTCAAATAACTGAATTTCAACCACTGCAAGCACAAATAGATGTACAAGATGTACAAGCCATTTATCCTCCAGCCATCCACAAAGTAGCTCATCTTCCAATCATAACCTACAATACTATATCTAAACCATATATAACATGCCCTGCAATCTCATCCCAAATAATGCAGCGCCACACTCCTACACCTCTGTACTCGCAGCCCTCACACCTAGCCTACCACTCCAACACCCCTTTCCCTGCAATGCTACCCAAACTCCCCTGATACAAGCCACGTTTAAGAAGAAAAACCTTATTTTGATATACTGTACAAATGCTGATGGACTCTCTAACAGAGCAAATGAAATTAAGGTTAGATCCGGAAACAAAATCAGACATTTTAATAGAACACAAATATCCAATAAATGATAATTACTAGTTTTCCCGAGGGTGTACCAGATACTGCATAAATAAAAGAAAGTAGCGAGGAGGAGTAGCATAAATTAAATATAGAAATTAAATATACAGTAAAGTGAAAAGCACTGTGGTAGTGAATACAAAAATTATACCGAGGGATTATAATAATTGAAAATACTGTAGTGGAAGTGGATATATACAACCCCCTTACCCCACGGAGTAATAGAAGGCCCATAAATGGGTATGAGGATGCAAACAAACTGGCATAGAAAAAAGTGTCACGGGGGCAGGTAGAATTTCCCACGGACAAATGTAAAACTCCTATTCATTAGCAACTTCAACCACAGTGCAATAGAATGGAATACGAGAGATGAACGATATCTCTAATGACATTGGAGATACCCTGTACCTGTATAGCCAAAACTGGTAGAAGCAATAGACAAACTTTCTAGTACATGTCAGAAAGACAAGCAAAAACTAATCTTGTATTTATTCAAGAGTAGAAGTAATACTAAGAGGATAGAATATGAACCCACCAGGAGCAGGTGACCACTGTGAACTTGTCTTTAACTAGTGATGATAGCCATTATAGTACAGTTTAAGAAAAAGAATGAAGGGGGAATAAAGCAAGCATACCGGATAGTGCATTATAACAAAGAATTTCTAGGGCAAACTAACTGGGAGAGAATTGGAGGGAAAAGTATTCTAAAAAATTATGGCTTTTGTCACCAGGAAATGCTAAGAAAGCAGAGGGAAAATGCTCACCAATCATAAAGGGGAAAAATCATCATGGTTCAACCAGTGTGTCATGATGGAAAAAGAAAGGGGTGACCAAAGGCATATTTAAAAGATATAATGCCTAGTCTAGTACCAGAAGCTGGCATAAATAAGATAACATTAGCATGTGCCAAACCTGTCAAACCTAAGTACTGTACTGTATTCAGGAACAAAAAAGAAAAAAAAAAAGAAAAGGAGGCCCCCTTTATTTTCAGCAAGCTCATGACGTATGCGAGGCCTATTTTAAATTATGCCACAATGGCCAATTACAAAAAAATCACTGCAAAAGGTGTGTTGCCAAATGCATTGGCAAAATAATTTTAATGTCTTAATAATTTGTCTGGACCCTAAAAGAAATGAATTTAGGACTATAACTGCAAAATGGCTGGAGATACGAGAGGAAAATGTCACTTATCTATGTATTAGATTTAGATTTGTTTGGAATAATTCCTATTCATGGTTACCTTGCCATGATTTCGGGGCTTGGGTCCCCATGGCCCGGTCCTCGACCAGGCCTCCTAGGTCAAGGCCTAGGTCAATGAATATACTGTAAATACAGTATTTTTAGTATATAAGGCACCAAAAACCTAAGTGCAACGGGAGATCATCACGCAACTCATCTCTTATGCCCACATCAACTATGTTATCTAGCTGTATGGGGAAATTTGACTAAGTCAAGAAATTCATTCATAAATATGAATAACTTAAGGACTTGCTAAGGTCAATTTTAGAATATAGCAGTTTACAGTCTCTTCAAACACATAATGAATCTGAAGAATTCGTGATTTATAGCACCAGACTAGTTTTAGAGCTAAAACATACAGGGGTCACAAATCACTAAAGAAATTAACCTTCATGTATGTGGAAGAGAGTGGAAGAGATAAACAGGGAAGCCTTATCACCAAATACGATACAAAATAATGAAACTCATGGGTTGTAAACAAACAAGTTTAACGGGCAAAATCGAAATTCTCAAATGAGCCACAAGAATATTAAAAAAAAAAAAAATCGTGTCAGTACTAAATGGAATAAACTAATTGGTGAAATGAGAAGTTTGGGTTCCATACACAGCTTCAATTGTGGATAAGACAGACAGACAGACAGATCACAAAGGGCTCTGGTATTT